AAGATGAAGAGGAGAGCCGAATGCTTCAGGTTAGATTTAATCAATCGTGCTCATGCATTGAATTACTTTAGACAAAGTATTCCTGGGTGATTCTGCAAAATAACAGACAACAGTGAGTGCATTTGGGGCTTGTATTTTTAGTCACTGCTGCAATTATTCTTGAAGGTACAGCGCTGCCAGGGTCAGGTTAGTACATAAAGGAGGACTTTCCTGCCCAGAAACTAAGAACAGATCAGTAAGGATGCAGGAATGAATGGATCAGTCCTGCAGTCAAAGGGCGAGTGCCTGAAATTTGCAGTAAAGATGGTTGATTGCTTGCTCATTACTCTTTTTAAAGGCTGCAAATAAATGTCCAAAGCATCCCCAAATAGAAAGCAATAGTGGTGCAATTAAATCAAGAGATTGCCCTGCAATCTAGTCTTAGTGAATCTGGAGCTGAGTTCATAGATCAAGTAACTTTCAGGGTTTCTGCAGTTCTGAATGTAAGAGGTACAATAAAAGAAGAAAAATGGCAACAGACCCGTCTGACACGGTGCATAGACTGAAATGTATAATATACACACAGCTTTGACAATCTGAACCGTGGCTTACAGAGCAAATGGCATTTCTAGAAACTATCGGCCTGGGCTACATGAAGCTGTCGGCTTTGGTCTACCGAATAATCTGACTGCAACACAAAAAAAAACCAAAACAAAAAAACCCGCAATATATATATAAAAAAAATAAGTAAATCTAACAGAAAGTTATTTCTAGTTAAAAGACTATGGCATCTGTAATTGTCCATTTCAGTCGGCAGATTATTATTGGGGGGGTACTTTTTATTTTTTCCCCGCTGAGGGTGGCACATGATGTCATAAGGGCTCGTGTTCATTTACAGTTTGCATGTCTGCAAGCTCAGCAATTGTCCCATGTTTGTCGTTTGAGGTGAGTTCCAGTGCTGTACAAGAAGAGGCATGCAGCCGTACAAGTTGCATGCGCGCCGGGGTGGAAGCGTCAAGTCCACTCCTGATCGAAGCTCAAAGATTAGGCTCAGACATTTATTGTTAAAGCAATGAAATGTAACAGTGTCCTGATTGAAAACTTTTTACATGGTGAAGCATCTGTTAGACTTCCTGCCGCCTCTGAAGGTTATTTTAATTTTTTATTTATTTATTTTTTTTACACAACCATCGATGGGACTAGTTTGAGACATTAGAGGACGACAATGCAACATTTAACTAAATGCGATTGTTCACGAAGAAGAAGAAATGTGTAGTTCTTGTCTTGCCACTGATATGAACACACAAAGAGTGGCAATGAATTTACCACCAACGTGTATGGGTTTCTTCAGAGGGCAACTCCTAGGCAGGTTAACGAGGGAAAACAGAAAATAAGTGCTCCTGCTGGTGACCAATGGAGTCCAACATGATGGGAGGCGGTTAAGATTGTGACAGGAAAAAAAAAGGTAATAAGTTCCAGTCCCGGTTTGGATAGCAGGTAAACAATCAAAGCCACCTCTACGTGACTTTTTTTTTTTTTTCGGCCCTCATGTCCCCATTTTTGCAATTTTGCTGGCCAGTGTCAGACCTTTACTGGTTAGAATGGAATGACCAGAAGAGATGGACTTTAAGCCTAGCCCTGGATAACTGGACTGCTATCAAGGTAACATCCAGCCCAGGCTGGACATGTGTGAAGGTGGAAGAAGAGCGGAGACTTGTTAGAGGATGGCTTGTGGTCTTAATAGCTGGCCTGAAATCATCCTCCATGACGCTCGTAGCATCTAGTAGGTTAATCTGCGTGAATACTTCTCCGTATTTTAAGTTCCATGAAGGGAGCCGGGAGCATTTCAGTGCCCACCTGGCAGGGTTTGTTTGGTGGCTCGGGTAGGTCTGGGTGGATCAGGCCTGAACTGTGGGTTGGCTGGTGACAGCGGGCTGGTTTCTCTCGGGGTCGCTGGCAGCAGTCAGATGTGGCTGGGTCATAAGAGGGGCGCAGAAGGCTGAAGGGGAAAAAAGAGGAAGTCAAAATCAGATTAAAAATAGCTATATCAGGTTAATTACAACTTTAATCATACTTCAAGAAGCTTCTATCTTTTATTCCAGTCTTGGCAACTGTATATCCAACCTTAGCACATACTGCTGCAGAGACAAGTAAGTGAAATTCCAACTATGAGGTTGCTTAGAATGAGCTTTTCATATTTTATTTTTTCCACTGTGTATGTAGGACACATACAAACACCTTATCTAACAACGTAAACCTAACCACGCTCTGGCTATGCAAATAATGCACTGCTATTATTTGCATAGCCAATAACAGCAGTGCATAGCTTCCACCTAATCCAAAAGTGTTATCCTAACTCTAGACATTCAATTTAAATTAATTTATAGTATTGGTATCCTTGTTGTTACGGACATTTGATTCAATACTTGTGTTGGTGTGTCTGCACTGCTCTGCCAACACATGTGAAACTGAGATGTTTATGTTGGAATTGGAGCCAATAAATATTTTACTGAGGGGAAAAAAAAAAAAAAGACTTCAAAAGCAAGAGAAAACTAGTATCCATCTACATTAGCAGGTCTACAGCCCACACAGTAGATTTAACACTGTACTGTAGAATAAGGAATTAAAAGTTAATATTTAATGACTGAGAATAGCCACATCAAAATGACCCTGAGAAATGAACAAAATAAGCTGTTTGTCTGCCCAACCACTAATTAAGTTACACAGACCACTTTCTCAGTATGTTCAAACCAACTGTTTATATTCCAAGTTTCACTTTTAAAATCATCATCCGTTGTATCTTACCTTCCTGCTTTTGCTAGTTGAGGCTTATCCACACCATCACTTTCCTGTAGAAGACAAAGGCACACTTTCAAAATTAAGCCAAACATTGACATACGGAGCATGAAATAAATAAGGTATAACTCTTCTGCCCTATTGTAAGGCCTCGTCTTACTCTAAGATAAAGCAAATCTCTTATTTTACCTGTAGGTTTTAGGGGAACTTACCTTTAAAAACCTTCTTATCTATATAACTAGTTTTATGTTTTAAACAGCAAGCTATAAATTAGCCAAAGGGAACAAAGCTATTACAAGAGGGGAAAAGGGTCATCAGTTTGTTTTCCCCCCATCTTACAAATGTAATGCTGTGCAAAGTTAACTTCCACATTTCAGTGAATGTGATATAACACTCCACATCCCATCTGAATAACTTAATTTGGACCTCTCTTTTCACAGGACAAATGCTAAAAATATCCCATAATCGTATCATCTGACAACAAGCAGAAATAATGAGCACACAACAATGTTGTACAAAGTGCCACCAACACGACATCACCATGCTCACGTTATGACAGCACCTAATGTGACACGGGTAAGGAATAAGAGACATGCAGGTACAAGGCGACTAGAACAACACAGTGACTGATGCAGTGAATGTGCATGACGATGGTAAGTGGACAGCAGGAGCAGTTTTTTCTTTTAAACGGATGAGTGAGTAAGCAGAAGCTGCGTGCTGCCAGCGGACATGCAACATGGAGCGTGAAGATGGGTGAGGATGGGCCAAGACGGCTTTGTTTACGTGACAACATGGATGGATGACAACGTGACACATAAAAAAAAATAAAACAAAATAAAAATTTTTAAAAAGCAGTAGACGTGGCTCTTACAAGTCATTTTAAATCTGGTACGCTCTCCCCAGGTCTATCTTCCACTACTGGGTTGACTGAAGTTGGCGACTGGGGCTCAGGTGGCGGCATTGGCATAGGCAGGGGGATGGGCATGCTCTTTCCTTCTGGGGTTTCTGGACCCAGATTAGATGTAGGCTGGCCTATGATTACTGTGTTACCTGTTGGATTGGAGCATGAAAACACGAATCCTGAAGCATAAGAGCATGTTTAATCCACTGATGATGCAACAGAGACCTTAGAGCTGACTTTGATTTTTGTATTTATTTATTAAAGTTAGTGTTTAAACTCTAGAAAGCAAGAAGTAAAATATTTTTTTTAAAGAAAAGCTCAATTTAAAAGCAATAAATAAAGAAATAAACACCTCAGCATGTTACAGTTTATGCATTCGTTATGCTTTGAAGCTTTATCACACGTTCAGATTTTAACACAGTCGACCAAAGACACAGGTCATTCTGTAAAATGTGTACACAGAAAAGTCCCCACTTCAGCAGGCCTGCTGAAAGAAAAGGGCTACATCATGAAGAAACAGTTTAACAGTTTTAATGAAACGAGCCAGAGCCGCAGGAGAGGCGTTTGTAGTGTGCTCTACAGCCACATCCAACAGAAATATTTGTAGAATTTACAGCATTTCTTTTTAAACAGATCTACAAATGGGCATTGCCACGTCACTTAATGTGATTAAATGCCTTTTCCCCTTCTTTTCTGAGGCCTTGATTATACTTTCTGCATCTGTGAGCCTGCTTGGGTCAGTGTGGATGTCTGTATGCTGGCCAATTTCTTGTGACCCCGCAGGACTTTAAATTACAATGCACCAACTGTGTACGTGCCCCAGATGGCAAATTTCAAGCAGACTTCAAAGAAATATACCAGCAATGACTACCCGAGTGTCTCCAGCTGGCTGGAGTCTAATCAAAGCTTGAGCTGTCAGCACTATTGGTCTCTGCACACTGTTTACTTCAGGTCTTACTCCATTTATTAACACTTCTGAATAGTTTCTGAAAAGCACATGTCACAGATTTCTTCAAGAGTGATCACAACTAAACTGGAGGGGGATGAAAAATAAAACAAACTAGACTCATCAGCAGATTAATCTGCAGAAAATAACTTGACAATTTTTTCATGTTTGTCATAATGATTCTGTGTAGAATAAATTTGTACAACCACTGATTCCACTTTCCACATCACACGCACACAGCCTCAGGCTCATATTCTACCTGAGAACATTTACTGGATGACTTTATCAAAGTGGTTGACATTTAATAACTGGTGGCTATAGTCTTTTGCCTCTATGACGCAAGTAAAAAAAATTTTTTTAAAATGACTTTGTTTTGTCTATTGGATGCACAAATACCAATTCAGACTTGATCACAATTGAAAAATTACAATTTAGCGCAAATCTGATGAGAAAATAAATGAAAGTCACACCTGATGAAGAGCAAGTGTGCTCGAATTTTCATGGTGCAACAAATCTGAACCATTAAAACTGAAAAATATTTATACATTTTATCCCAAACTCACATCATTTAGTTCAGCTTGAGCCGAAATGATGGAAAGAGAGATTGTAGCCAACAAATAATCACACCAGAGGAAGTAAAAGCCCACCAGCGCACACTCGTTTGTCTTGCGTGGTCTGCTTTTGGCAGCGGCTGACAGCGTCAGTTGGTTGTCACCCGTCAGCCCTCAATAACTTTGCCCATTCCCTTTGTGGCTGCCTCCTGAGCCATGCTAGTTTTCTAAATACTGCCCCCCTAACTACGCCCACAGGCCTCACACAGTGGAGGCTGTGGCCTGTGAGGGTTTGGCTGGTGAGTGGTTGTCCTTGTAAAAAAGACTTCATAGTCTAATCCACTGACCCTGCGATGTCAACCAAATCCATCATTTTTTAATGATCTTATTTGGGTTTCAACTGAACTATAATTAAACACTTGCAAGATGTTTCCAAAGGTACCAGTAACAGTGTTAAATAACCTTGGGTTATGATTTTTCTTACCTCCGTCCTGATCTGCTTTGATCTGGGCCTCCAGGTCTTCGGGGTTGACGTACTGGTAGTTTTCATCGTCATCTGGAGGTTTGCACTTCCCGCAGCAGAAACAGCAGCAACAGCAACAGCAGCAGCAAGTGAATAATGTACAGCACAGCACCAGACCCTACAGGGATTAACATGCAAACAGATTTTTAGCCATATGACACAGAGGATCTAAAAGAACTTTAATCTTAATCTCCAACAAATTATTGACAGCAAACAGTGAGGATTTCATCCAATCCTTTATAAACAGATTACAGATGTCATTTTGCACAGTCAGTGCTTCTGTCACCATATTCAAGACTCATGAATGTGTAACAATCATAATTCATCTAAGACAATCACATAAAGAAAGAAAGGAAAAAAAAACCCTCCCCAAAAATGTTTAATTTGTAATTTCCCTAAATGGATTTTAGAGGCACAGAACATCTTTTGAGCGCAGGGACTGTAAAACCACATTACGAGCCTCACAAAGCCAGCATTCACTGCAGTTATGTTCGCACTCACTGTACTGTTATCCATCCCTAAACACTGACTATGAGGCACAGATGGAAAAGGTGCATTTCTGCAGACGCAGAGGGTGACAGCTCACACCAGCAAGAAAACACCAGATCACGTTTCATATTGTACTCACGCTACAAAGATTGATCTAGCCTACTATGATCTGTAGCCATGATTAGAAAAAAGAAAAAAGAAAGAAAAAAAAGTGCCACCAATCAGGAATCAGCCTGGTAAAGCACAGGCTGCTGGGAAATTAGTCAAGCGTGAAACTCCTTTATAAACCTGATCACTTTGCTCTAAAAAAATACCTATTAGCTCAGTTAACGGTTACAGATTATTATAAAATCAAAAATAATCCTGTTTAACACAAACAGCAGATCAGTTTATTCTACCAGACTTCTAATACACAGACCTTGAACTGCATTAACAATATGTTGCTGTTACAATATGCACCACTAAGTACACATTAACTTATATTTTTGAAGTACACTGCACATTACCAAATAAAGGCATAAACCATTTTGTCCCAAAATGGTCAAATATATTTAGTAAATCCAGCTGAGCCACTTTCACACACGGCTGGGTTGTTGGGACAATGCTGGGAGAATCAGGTCTGCACATTTCACAGGAAGTAGCCAACTACAGATGTGTGCTGCCTTAGAAGAGCACGTACAAGTCAGGACACACATTTCTTTACTCTCACATAGGCTTAATTGGACATTGAGCCTATGTGCACCAGTGGGCTGTCAGGTTAAGGAACTTTGTATTCTGAGACAAAGCTCTTTAGGATAATTTCGAGAATGTTTGAAAACAGTTTAGAAGTCAGAGATAGCACACAAAAACACAAACACACCAACCTTAAACCACCATTTGGACATGAGAAAGTAGTACTTGACGCTCTCCTCTCCAAACTGTTCGGACACATAAAGGCCCATGGAGCCATATTCGTCGTAAATCTTCCTCTTGTTCTCATCATTTAAAATTGAGTTCGCATTGTTGATCTCCTTAAACTTCTCCGCTGCCTCTGGGTTGTCTGGGTTCTTGTCCGGGTGGTACTTCAGTGCTAGTTTTCTGTCAGGAGAGAAAGGAAAAGATCAACAAAATTATTGATCGTCTGCTCCAAATGTGCCAGAAAGAATCTGCTGCAAGTGTGAGTGAGGAAGAAATATCACATGGTTCCCTCACAGGCTCAAGCCCAGGATGTCATGGTTTAAAATTACATACACATAAAATTACAACCATATTATTTTCCACCACTTCCAACTCTAATGACTGGCTTAATCTTTTTCACATTATATTGCAGACTGTATACTGTACTCCTATCTAAAACTGATGAAAATAGCCTGACCATGGAACTAATCATAATATCTAATAGTTGTAGCCGTAACTATAACATTAAATACCTTAGTGAAAATTCTAAACGATTGTAAACTGTTATAAACTGCAAAGAAGGTGGAATGTCAACATGTCAGCTTGGGTTCTGGAAACTTTCAAACTGTTAAAAAATAAATAAATAAAAACTCTATAATGTCACAAGTCTATCCCACACATGAAACTACATTAAAGTAAACAAGCAGCAGTATTATTTGTTTGTTCCATGAAAGTAAAATTAAAGCTTTAACTGTGATTTTGAGGCAGCTAATCAATTTGCACTTTCCCTATTTATTTCCTGAATTATAAGAATCTGAAGTGTCTGAAGAAACTTAAGTAAATGCATTACAGATATCATTTGAAATGCTTTCATGTCAGTCGTCTGCACTTTTACAGACAGAATTAACAGACAACTTGTAAAGAAATATTTCTGAACAGCACTTTAGTTATCTGGCAGCTTATGAGTAAACACTATCAGGGACACAAATAACACATTTGAACAGAGTAGTAGCACAGAATCCACCTGCTGTTCAAACCTTCTGTTTGCAGACAAAGAAACTTGGGAGCTGTAATTTGTGAGTCATGCAAAGTAGGGCTGCCACGATTACGTCGACTATCAAAATCGCCGATGACCAATTTAATAGTCAACGCGTCGTTTGAAGCTTTGTAAGATCCCAAAAGATGCAGGACTAAGTAGTAGGATTTAAGAGTGTAATAACGGACTGAAACAGAAGATGGCAGCACTGCATGTACAAGGATGCCAACCGTTAAACCCTGAAGAAGAAGCTCTGTCCCAGAATTTATAGTGCGACCCTGCTTAGTTTCCAACAATGGCGGCAGCTAGTTAGTTTTAATTTTACTCTTTTTATTCTTTCTGGGTCACAAAATAAACGTTTAACACATTTTCAGGCGAGAATGTAGCTGTGTAAACCTCAAATATCTGCTCAGTTTATCAAGACATCTCATATTTTCAAAAGCGCTTCGACGTTTTCAGAGACATCTGTTACCCACCAGCTCGATACCTAGCCCGGGTTCAAGGCACCTAGTGCCGTGAGAACACCGGACTCCCGGCAAATCGTTGTCAAACCCACCGCCGTCTTTCGCTGCTCAGGTTAAACATATATATGAGTCACTTAGATAACTTAAAATGTTATTGTTTGGCTTTTTTTAGTATTTTATTTGTTCCTGAGTAAATCAGTTTGTCTGAGATTCAAGTTATAGTTTTTACACAGCTGAATAAACGTCAAGCACACAACTGGTCATCAGAAGTGTGAGATGCTCGAGAATATACTCCGGTGTCCCGTTATATTTTAGATATCAAGGAGTTTATTAAACTTCACAGAAACAATCTGCAAATTTCATTAAAAATTAAAAAAATCATCTTGTCTTCATTATTAGTTAGCACATACGCAAAACACTTAAAGCTGTAAGCTAATGATAGTTATATAAGAGCAGATGCATGCTGGTGCAATAAGCTGTAGGTTTTACGTCTAATGGATGCATAACCTGATTAGTCGACTAATCGCAAAAATAGTCGGTGACTAGTCGACTATCAAAATAATCGTTTGTGGCAGCCCTAATGCAAAGCCACTCTAACGGTCCAAAATTAAGAATATGAGCAAAACAACAAAAAGAACTTTAATAAAGAGAAGTAAATAAAGTCCAGCTTACCTGTACGCTTTCTTGATTTCCTCTGCAGACGCTCCTTTCTCCAGACCTAGCACCTTGTACACACTCTCCCCAGAGGTGGACATCTTCCTTTGGGGGCGGGAGGAGTTTGGTTCAGCCATGGCTCACCTCTGTAATTAAAAGAGATCAAACTTATTAGGAGGCGCTGATACATAAAAAGCTCAGAATTCAAATGATTTATTTAAAGAATCTAAATACTCAGGCCAGTGTTAATTACCAAAGTAGTGCAGAAGGTGAGGTTCACCAAGGCAGAGGTGGTGTAAATAAAGAAGAAGTAAAGAAAAAGATACTGTTTTTCACTTTTCACTACAATAGGGAGACATAAATCAGCTGTTTAATATACCAAAGAAAATAAGGACACACCAGACAAAATAAATAGTGCTACAAAAAAAACAAAAAAACAAAACATAATCATAACACCCTCGGTTTGACTTACTTCCTGGTTCCTTGTCTGCCTCTCTACTGTTGTTCAGCATACCTCAAGTTTACGTCTGACCTTTATTGTTTCGGTTCACTACAGTGCTTACTTCAAATGCAATTTTCTCCAACAGTGAACAAATAACAGCTTTAAAAACCCAATGTAGACTAAAAAGACAAACTGACGTAGTTGGCCAAGCTCTGGTGAACATACTGGAACATCTACCAGCTAAAGAGCCACATATTTACTTAAAGACTAAGTAAAATAGGGAATATAGTGTATGCTTTCTAATAACAAGCAACGGTGACTGCACAAGTTGCAGATGTACAGTTGCATGTTACACAGGATCTGTGTAGCATTAGATTGTCTCAGTTGCTTTCGATTGACCAGTTCTCCCATTTCTCAGCCTGTCCTCATGTCTTCTAGTTTCAATAAGCTAAGATCACAATAGTAAAAAGCTCAGTGCTGAATTTCACATGCCAACGTGGCACATCACGATGGCCGTCTCCAAAAACACCCTTCATTAACCACCAATGATGACGTTGCTGTAACACTGCTAGATTTGAAAATAACTTTCTGCAACAAGCTTCACAAATCAGCTTAAACTTGACAGTAATTAGTTCTATTGCACCTTCTGGGCAAATCCTGTCTTTTTAAGACAGCTTTTGTTGTGCACATCTTCGAGGCAAATGCAGTTATTTTTGTCCTCTCCGCCTCCTTCAGTGAAAATACAGAGAAATGCTTAGAGAAAAGGGTATAACATGATACTAGCAACCCTGAGTATGCAAGCCACTGAGAAGAGAGTAGGAGAAGCCTCCTTTATGGATCACACAAGTATTTAGAAGCAGAGAGTTAGTGTTTCACAATTACTCCATACAAAATGGATTTCTGATGAACTACGATTACTGTACGCGTACACAAATACACTCACATTGAGTCATACTGAGCCACACGAATAATGCCACCCAGGTCATTGACTAAAGAAGATTACATTTTGCTGATCTCACAGATTACCCGTCCAAGTCCATGTCAGACAGGGCCAACGTTCTGGTCAGAGGCCAGCAAGACAACTGCACAGATATGTGCAACAAACCAATCGACTGTCATAAGCGTTTAACTGTAACCCTTGTAATTCTACATCCTGAATCCAAGGAATCCTTGACAGTAAATAATTAACACAAAAATGAAACACAACTAAGAGATGTATTCACACAGGATTAATTTTTCCATCTGGCACACTTTGCCTTTGGGATTTTTATTCTACTCATTACAGACGAAGCAGATTTGCAAAAGGATTAAATTTAAATGAATATGTAACAGTTACTAATTAGAGAGATCACAGCTAACACTACAGATTTGTGAATGGGGCTTTTGTTATGTCATCTAACCATTACAAAGTTCTGTGCCATTAATATATGAACTCAGATATTAACTTTATCAATATTGTACCATTCTGAGTAATGTCTGTAAGAATTAACTAGTTCCCCTCATTTAATTGTGCAAACTGAAACATGTTTTTGAAGTGATTATAATTAAGCGGGATCTACTATGCTTATTTCTTGCTCCATATCTTATTTTTGTTTTAGTCCTGGACTAGAGTAGCTTTGCATTAGGGCTGGGCCATATTATACCGTTCACGGTAATACCGGTATAATGTTAGGCAACGATAGGAAAATGAAATATCGCGATAGAATATGAGTAAAACGCGCATGCGCAGTGCCTTTGTTTTCATACGCACATGGCCGATTGTTCAGTGAAACAGATGAACCAGAATTGGTTTG